TATTATTGTGATAAAAGCGTCGGGCGCTCAATATACGAAAAATATAGCACAAAGCACCCACGCTTTTATCACAATAATACTAGTACATTTCGTTCATTATTGTTTTATGCTTATTTTAAAAATTATTTTTAACTTTTTAGTTCGATGTTCTTTAAAAGCGTGTTTTTTAGTTTTTTTAAACTATATTTATTTTTCACTTTTTAGTTACATGTTACTCTAGTAGTTACTATCAATATCATGGTTGTAACGGGTAAAGGGGAATCAGGGTTCGATTCCGGAGAGGTAGTCTGAGAAACAGCTACCACATCCAAGGAAAGCAGCAGACGCGCAACGTGGAGGTAGTGACGTAAAATGACGATACGGGAATCATCCTTTGTAATCGGAATAAATACCCTATATATCTCTTAATGAGAATAAAGCGTATTAATATATAAGTTTTAATAGTAATTAAAATATATATATATATACATGTAAAGCGACTTAAGTACGTAAACGTATCATGCACGAGGTATAGCTGTGTTTTGTTGGCGGGCGGGGCGCGAGGCATATATGGCGGCAGCGGCGTCGGCTGTAGGGATATATAAATGAATATTAACATATACGTATATATAAATAATAATATATATATGTATATATATATTAATATTAGCGGCGATGGTAAGAATATATAATCTTCGCATAATATCGTGGCACTTTCGTTGGCGTCGACGACGCGATGTCCGGCGTGATCCTCGGGCGTCAAAAGGTTAGCAGCGTTGATGGCGACGGTGCGTGAGTGGAGATCGGTTTATTGACGTTGCCACTTTGACAACAGGAAGAATACTACGGTATCATTAGCGGCGGTACGTCGTCGGCCGTGCGGCACTTGCTGGACTTTGCACCGCGGCGTATAACGCGCGGTGTTGGTCAGTCAAATACTCAAAATTATACAGAAAAAAAATAGTGTAGTTGCCGACTGGTGAGCGGGGTGGGGTGAATGCGTTACGACGGTCTAGTCTCAAGGTCATAGACGACGGGATACGCGACATAATAACACGTGCCGCGTGGAGTTACAAACTTACAACATACAAACAACATACAAACAACATACATGTGAAACTAATATAAGCGTGTTAAAAATATATACATTTATCTTGTATTTCTTATTTAGATATTGGTTTGAGTCAAGATGAAACTAGTGAGTGATAAATTAAATGTTTTAAGTCATGAACAATTTTACTATTAATTAACCTACGTAAAAAAATTCTAAAAATAGTTTTTAAACTATAATAATGTATTAATTTTCAATCAAATTTTTCAGACTTAATTCTAGAAGATTATAAGCATAGAAACAATATTAATAGTCAGTATTATTTGTTTGGTAACAGTTAAATAACATATTAAATTTTTATCTTTAAAATTATTTAAACTATTTTATTTTTTGATTATGTATTTGGTTAATCATATTATAAATCTTCTTCATCTTCTTCCTCGCCTTAATCCCAACTACTTGGGATCATATTATTAATAGTTAAAATAATTTTTAATTGTAGGCAACAATAGTCAAGGATGTCCAAGTTGCGGAAAACGAGCTACCAACAGAGTATCTCATAGTTGCGATCATTTATTTTGTTATGAATGTTCACTTAATGTAAGAAATTCATCTGCATGTCCGGAGTGTAATTCTCCAGCAATAGGTTGGGACGATGAATGATTTGTTGCAACAATATATTTTCAAATAAATTAAATCATTCATTATAGCCATATATATTTATGCACATGCACTATTTTTTTTTTATAATAATATACAAAAATCTCAATGCTCCAGGATATCAATATGTTTAGCTTATTATAAAACATTAATTATAATTTTTATCATTCGACAAAATTGTAAAACTAAATAAGTTAAGTAAAATGACCCACTAGATTTTAGTTACTAGAACAATAATTTTTCTTAAAAATTAGTAGAACAAATTCACTCGTTTTCATGTTCATTAGAGTGACAAAAAAATTTTTTTTTAATTATTATATGTGGCCTAGTCAATAACTACTTTTGACTCCTTAAAATGTGAAAGAGGGCCACCACCCTAAAAACTACTCCATAATGCCACGATTTGCAAACTTTTTAGCTACAAGAGTTTATAAGATAAACGTAATATAGTTCACTCCTTTCAAAAATATCGTATTTTGATATATGACGTTTTAGATCCCTTATTATCAACACGTCCCAAAATAGTAATATAACCCAAAAATCGTTATACCTAGAAATCAGGTACCAGTACCTTAATAAAATAACAACTTAGGTATATGTTGTTACTATAAAAATTAAAATTTTAGTTTTGAAAAAAATGTAAAAGATACCAGAATTAGTTTTTGAAAACTTAAGTTAATACAAGTCCAAAACGGGTTTTCATAAAACAAAAAATTTACCATAATATCATTTAAAAAAATAAAAAAAACATGTTCAGTTGTGTGGATAAAAAAATTGAGCACTAAGAGATGCGGCATAGTTGGAACAAGTATAGATGATATCTGATGGTGACTAACATCACCTTCATAAAATACCTTGATGTGAATAAGTTAAACTTCAGAATAATTTGTATACTTGTAATTATACAATTTGCAAAATATGGCATACATTTTATATAAAACTTCTTCAATTAAAAATGCTGACACAGTATTTATGGTCAATTCTTATCAAATGAATTACTCAAGTGACTGATAAAAAATTATTTTTATGAATACTACAACCAAAGTGATGTACAACTAGGCCCTATTTATGGGGTTTGGGGATTCAACCCCAAAAAATTTTTTTTGAAGTTGAAAAATTAAATTTACAAATATTTTTTATACATACGCGAATAGTACTGTAGTATTTATGTTTACTACAAGTAATTTATACATATTTACGTAAATCTATGTCACAATCAATTTTATTGTAAACAATATACGATGATAACTTATCGAACAACAACCGTATTGAGTTAAAAATATTGTATAAATATATAATATGTTTATCTTGAAGCAGTGCATGATGAATCATTTAGTATATTATTTGTTAGGGTTCGTCAACGATATTGATATTTCAATTCGTTATTGCCGACTTTTTTCATTTTTCCCACGATATCGATTAATTTTGAAATATTGCAATAATCGAAAAAAAAAATTTAATAAAAAAAACTGTTTGAATTTTCGCCACTTTGTTATAAAATATATATTATTTGATATTAAACAGAACAGTTTGTGATAATATTATTCATATTTTTTATATCAAAATATAATATGAAATATAGAATGGAGATAAAACGAAAAATGATATTTATTGATTCTTAGATTAGGTTTTTTATTATGACATTGTTGTTATTTCTATTTTTAACAAAACACGAACAAATTAATGTATGAGGAGAATTAGAAAAATAAATTTCAAAATTAGAAGATATACAGCAACAACTGGTTGAAAGTCACTCTGAAATATAAAATAAAATAGTTGAGCCTAAAAAAAAATCCCTATTAGATGATAGTGATGAAGATGATGATGATTTATTCTGTAAAAGTTTCATTTTTATTGTTGAAAAGAAGATAAGTTGTTTTCAGTTATGGAAAACAATAAAAAAATGTTAACAGCATTTATAATCTTTATTATTATTATTTAAAAACCAAAACAATAAAATTATCCTATTATTTTATAAAGAATAGTTTCATTCATTTAATATAAATAACGAATAAAATTTTGTATAAAAAAAAAATTATTTCTTTATAATAAAAAGTAATTCGTAAATATTTGATTATCGTTATGAGATATAGCTATTATCTATATTTTTTTTGTATTAATATCATTATCTGATACGGTTGGTATACCATAGTCTGATTTTTACAACAATGGTAACTTAATGGTGTCCTTAAAAATATAAAAAAATAAAAAAAATGGTGAAAATGTTTAAATATTAAATTAAATTTTAAATATAATTTTTTTTTCGATATCGATTAATTTTTTCATACAATATCGAGAGTAAGTTTTTTTCAATATTGCAATAAAATATTGTTGAAATTCAGTACGATATCGATATCCAAAAATATATCGTTGATGAACCCTATTATCTGTGTAATTCTGTCACCCGTTTGATTTAGAATTAAAGTGTATTATGTTATCAATGAAAAAAACTGACTCGAAACTTCTGATATTAAAGAAAATATTTTGTCTTCAAAACCGGTTTTTTTGATTCGGTTCTGCACCTGCTAAAAATCAATGTTTAGTTTCTTATGATCCTATTAAATTATTTATTTTTAATCATTCCAATGAAGTTTTAAATTTTAAAATCACTCTCCTGAAAAAAAAAAAAATTTTAAGTATGACGTTATTGAAAGGAGAGAAAAATAAATTATGCTTAAATTCTTATAGAATCTAAGGTTACAAGGCTATTATAGCTTATAGGACAATTTTTTTTTTTAAGTTTGTGTCAGTATATTTAGGTATAATCTACAGACTATTTTAATTACAAACTCATACAGTAAATTGAAAAAAGTTTCATATCTGTCAACATATGAGATTTTACTATATTCCGAATTAATTAGCAGAAAATTGTTGCAGATTATGCCTAAATATAGTTATGCTTGACTTGATACAAAAGTTATTCAATTTTTTGTAAAAATTTATTTAAATTTCATGCATTTAGGACACAAGTGTCTTTTGGCTTCCTTAAGAAATTTTATCCACTTGACAGAAAGTTTTCTAGAAATTTCAAATTTTTCAGAAGTTTTTAATGGATATTGTCAAAGAATTTATTCTAGTAATTGAAAAAGTGTATAATTGCATATAAATCGGAGACCTAGTGAATAGTTCAAAACCTTTTTGACGGTATTTGACACATTAAAAGCATTTTACTTTATTTTATTTTTAACTTTATTTTTTGAAAGTACTTTGTACTTTCAAAATGCAAATGGGCCGGATCTTAGGGGGCGATTAGGAATATTCTACCTTATATAAACTATTTAATTTAATATAGTTTACAATTCTTATTTAAATTTTTACGTATTGGTTAAAACTTTTTTTTATGTGATAAGAAAAAAAAGTATGCAATGAGTCAACAAATTTGTGTATTCAGTGCTACGCTGCGCATATTATTAATATTTATTGAGATGAAGAGTTGGATTATTTGTATTTATTATTTGATTTTGAAATTTTCAATTAAATACTTAATTTATTGTGGTTAAACTTGTAAAACTAGAATTCATTATTCTTAAAAATAAATTTAATGATCAGAGTAGTTATTCCAGATTTTATTAGAATATAGCATTTTTTATTTCATAAAGCCGCTCGTAGTTTATTTTTTCACAATTCAACCCTATTACACTTAGTATAAATATTATCATGACAGAAAATTTTCAACGTTTTTTTGAAGATAACAAATGTATAATTTTTTAACGGAATTTTCTATGAAAAGACTTTTAAAATCATAAAGATATCTATGTACAATGTTTATATTTTTCATGTATTTTTATTTAGGAGCGAAAATAAGAGTTTGTCACGAAAACTATGCTTCTTTAATCTTTAAAATGTTGTAGGAAATTTACTACTGAACACTAATAAAATATTTTTTTGTTAAATTTTCCCTTAAAATCTATGGCTATCTTGAAATTTTTCGTAAATTTTTAATTAAACATTTTTTCTAATAAATTGAAAAACTATTATATTTTATGATGTTTTTAAGCTTTGAATGGGTTTTAAAATTTTAGTCTTGACAATATTTTATAAAGTTAATTCAAATGCTAAATATTAATATGATTGGCATTACCTATTAGGCGGTCAAACTCCCACTCTCTCTTATGCCATCATTCCTAGGCGTGGAACAAGATGACGAATTTGACTTTTTTTTCTAATTAAATTATAACTTTTAAAGTAATTAATACTAAACTATGATCTTTTTACTAATTAGTCGCAATATATTAAAGAGTATTTCAAATTTGTATAGTGAATTATTTCTTTAAGAAATTTAATTAAAGTTTAATGTGATTAAATTTTCCCAATTTTAAGTTTTACATTGTTTTCTGAATATGATTAATTTAGTTATGAATAATATTTTCGATTAAATAAATAAAATAAAAAATATACTGATTTGTAACTTTCGATTGTGTTTATATGATTTATTCAATTTTATTAAAATAAGTGCAATTACAAATGCAATAATTCAAAATCCTTATTGTGTATACTTAATTTTCGTCAAAGACAATTATTAAAAATATGATCTTTTGTAGTAAATGGGCTAGTTGACTTTTTAACCAAGACCCTGATTTATTGATTTGTAGAAAAATATTGTGCTCTAAGATGTGAACTCTGCCTAAAATTTAACTTAAGTTAAAAAAAAACAGTATCCATAAAATGTTTATCTCCAAAATAAAAAATTTGCAAATTTCCATAAATATTATTTTTGATTAATTATTGCGTCATTAAATAATGATTGGAAGTAATTTAATAATATAGTAGTAATAATTTCATTATCAAAATAGATATTATTGTACATATGATTTCATAGTTTTCCGAATATTGTGTTAATAAAAAGTAGTTTATTTTGAGTACATTATAAAATTGAAATTATTAACATACAAAAAATTAAAATAAAATAATGTTAATTTTAAATACGTATTTTATTAAAAATACACATATTTAGTGCATATTTTAAAGTAAACTAACGGAAAAATGAGGTTTCTCAATCCATTATCAGTGTTAGCCTACCCTTATTTTATAAAATGTTCTTAATTTCAAATACATATCAGTAAATATTAGTATAAATTTATAATTCGCTTTACATATTAATTAAAGTAACAAAAAAAGT